AATTTGAATTATTACATTTCAGGAGATAAATTGCTCTGAGCTATGCTTCCCAAGTGGGCAGAAAGTAAAATCTGCTTATCTTCCCCAAAGGCAAATTTACATACCAGCTGTTTTTCAGTCTCCTGCTCATTATAAGCAGACTTTTACATCTTGTCTCATAGGTATGGCTGTTATAATAATGTTATTTTATTATGATTGATTGCTGCTTAATTCAAGTAGTAGAATTGTGAAAAAGTATGATATATTGTGAATTTTCATACTAAATTCTCCATTTGAGATTTGTTATTTTCCATGTTTAGTCTTTGATAGTAACTTTTATTCTAATTTTAGATCAAAATTGAGTTTTAAAAGTAGGAAGTGACAGTATTATCTTTTTAAAGTTATAGTTTTTTATTTATTTTTTTTAACTAGAAGTGTTACAAATGACCTTGTTAAATTAAGTGGAAAATTTTAAATGTGATGCATGATTAGGTCTGATTGTTTTAAGGTACAAGGACAAAACTTGCCTTTTAAAAAATGGTTATTAGTATTATGTTACAGTCGACTCTGTTAAAAGACTATTTTCAAATCTAGCTAAAAAACAGCACATAGGTGGTATAAACACGAGATTATTTTGTTTTTAATTTTCAGCTGTATCTATCTTTTTTTTGGTAGAACATCTAAATATAATGCTATTTGGATTGGCACAAAGGTTGCACAAAGCTCTTTCAAAAGTCGACATGTCATTTTATACATCATTGAAAGGAGAGAAACTGAAAAATGTGGAAAATAACGTACCATCCTGCCATCATAATCAACCTGCAAAGCTTGTCATGGTTAAAAAGGAAGGTCCAAATAAGGTATTGTTCTTGCTTCCCCTTCCCCCGCCCCACAGTACTCGTCTAATAAAAAGTTTAGGTACCTATTGCTTTATGACAAGCTTAAAGAGTGAGTCTTGATTAAGTCTTCTATCTGAGTTATTAGTTAACTAACATATAGTCAACTGTCAATAAGTGTCATTGAAAGAATGATCTGCATTCCAGGATACAAAAATACGAGTTAAGATTAAACTTCAAGTTGCTTAGGAACTTACTACCTGGTAGTAGACAGAGAACAATACATAAAAAGAAAATTTTAGGCCGGGGCGCGGTGGCTCACGCCTGTAATCCTAGCTCTTCTGGGAGGCCGAGGCGGGCAGATTGTTTGAGCTCAGGAGTTCGAAACCAGCCTGAGCAAGAGCGAGACCCT